CCAGGTCAAGTTCTGGTGTAAAAAGGAAGACAGATGGGCAAGTCAGTCAGCTCCTGGGAGACACTCCCCAAAGTACAAACAAGGCAAAGGGAGCCCTCAGAGGAGAGATTCCAGAGCTGAGGATTTCACGCGGTGGTGAAGACTCTTGACGAGTGGGCGCTAACACCACCCCAACTTTACAGATGAGGGACTAAAGCACAGAGCACCGTGTGACTTGTTCGAGGTGGCTCGCCGAGGGCGTGTGCTCCGGGGGGATCTGAACGCGGGTCGTCCGACTAGAGCCTGTGCTGGGCGTTCCGGGAGCCCAGCAGGACAAAGAATTCCACTCCTGAAGGAGTTTGCGATAGATGAGGAGAGAGAAATGAGCAGTGGTCTGGGGGTGAAGGAGGTCAAAGTGGTTTCCCGAAGAAGAGGGGAAAGGCGTGTCGAGTGCAGATGGAACTGATCTGACAGGGAGGGAAAAATGAACGATGGAAGAGGGGAAAATGTGAGGTCACCATTAATACAAGCAGTCTCCCACGTGTGGACCTGGAAAGGGTTCTCAGTTCTTCAGTCTTCTTAAAAGCCAAGAAGACTCCGCAGGACTCAGATCTGCGTGCTTATGTGCACTTACTTCTCCACGATCAAGTCCTACAAGTGGGTGTGTCGGACGGAAGCGTCCACACGTGTTTTCAAGCAGTCGCTACGGCCAAAGTGCCCCAAACCGCATCGATCCACGCTCCCCCGGCACTGTACGCAACCACCTGTTTCTCTACATTCATCAGCGCTGGGCAGTAGCCTCCCTGCTTTTTGCAAATCTAAAATTCAAAAAATTCTAAATAAATCAATACAATTTTTTTTAAATTTTTTTTTCAACGTTTATTTATTTTTGGGACAGAGAGAGACAGAGCATGAACGGGGGAGGGGCAGAGAGAGAGGGAGACACAGAATCGGAAACAGGCTCCAGGCTCTGAGCCATCAGCCCAGAGCCCGACGCGGGGCTCGAACTCACGGACCGCGAGATCGTGACCTGGCTGAAGTCGGACGCTTAACCGACTGCGCCACCCAGGCGCCCCAAATCAATACAATTTTAAAGAGTCTTATTGTTAACTGAATTTACATTTCTTCTGAAATAAAAGCTTCACTACTTACTCGGGCAGTTTCTTTAAAAGTTAAACATTAATTTACCATACGAACCGGGAATTGCAGCCCCGGGCATCCCCCCATAAGAAAGGAAGATGTAGGTCTTACACACTGACTTACACACAAATGTTCACAGCAGCATTATCCACGATAGCCTAGAAGTACAATCAATCCAGATGTCCATCAACTGACAAACGGATCAACGAAATCCACCAGTCTATACAATGGGCGTAATTCAGCCATAAAAAAGAACGAAGTACCCCCACGTGCTACAACACGGTTGAACCTTAGAAAATAGCACACAAACTGAAAGAAGGTGGACTGAGAGAGCACGGGGTCTCTCTCTGGGGGCAAGAAGGAGATTCTAAAATGGACTGCGGCGATGAGCACTCAACTCTGTGCACAGATCTAGAAACCACTGAATCCTACCATAAGTGGGTGAATTACCGGGTATCTGGGGGTAGTAGAGTCACAGGGCGTGGTATTGTTCGCCAGAGAAAAAGAGGAGTCTGTGACCCCTTGGCTTGTGGGCTTTCTTCTACTCGAGGTTGGTAGTATCTGAATTTCTCACAGGGCACAGATATTAACTGGTTTAATCTATGCATTTTATCACACCTTCAGAATTATTAAGTCAGCCTTACTGAGTCACGATATAAATCACTAATCTGATAAGCTAAGTCATTCCTTCATGCAGTCTGGCCCTTTAAAAACAATTAGGTAGTAATGATTATTCCAGTCTAGTCACTAAAAACCCCGAATGAATCTCTGAGGGGACAATGGAGCACCAGAGAGAATACGTGGGTTTAAGCAAGAAGTTCCCAGGACAGGACCTGTGCCTGTTTAAGGAGCCCAGCGGAACTCCAAATCCTGGAGGCCTTCCCCTCTTCTGGTCAAGGTGGAGGCGAGGCTGACTCGCTCCGGGCGGCGGCACCGGCGGGTGAGACGCGGAGAAAGGCACTGAACGTCAGAGCCCGGAGAGCCGGCGTGTGTGTGCGCTGCAGCCACCAGGATTGGCCCCCAAACCTGGAGGGAAACGCGGCCTAGAAACTCGGGAGACAGGAGGGAGATACTCTCTCCAAACCTCCTGCAGGACGCCCCTCCGGAAAACATTACTTTTCAAGTGTGAGGATTTTCTTTCCGCACGAGTGAAGCACATGAACTGCATGCACAGTCAGTCCTCCAACAATACGGCTCTGAACTGGGCCCACTTCTATGCAGATTTTCTTCAATGAACACGTGCAATGCTGTAAATGTATTTTCTCAACCACGCTTTCTCTAGCTCGCTTTGTTGTGAGAATATACAACACACACAACACAAAGAGCAGGGGTTAACCGACTGTCTGATCAGTTAGGCTTCCGGTCTGCAGGAGACTGCACTAGTTAGCTTTCGGGGAGCCCAGAGTTACACGCAGATTTTCAACCACGCAAGGGGTCAGTGCCCCTAACCCCTGTGCGGTTCAAGGTTTGAGCATCGACTGCATACTGCTAACTGGTAATAAGTCTGTTCTTTGCCTATTGTTAAAGTAATCATATGCAATGCAAAAAACGTAAACAGTACACAAAACTGTAAGGAGTAGAAGTAAAGCAGTAAATGACATTCTGGTTCTAAATTCGTGAAGCAACGGAGAGGTCAGAATTTTCACATTTAGCCCGATCCTCTGCTCCAGTGACACCACCCCTGCTCCACCAGGTGACACTCCCCAGCCGGCAGTGACTCTGAGGGCAGTTTGTTTGACTCTTTCCAGACAATACAATTATATCTAAAATGCATGCAACTGTGCAATTTTTATGTAAAACTATCTACATTTACTAAACAGAACACCGACTATAGGCTAGTCACACCTAGTAAAACTGAGTACTCGATACATGGAAATGAAGGAATTAACTTTGCTCTAGATCTAACCTGCCCTAGGTAGAGGTGTTTTAACCTCTCTGGACTACATATGGATAAAATATATTTTTATACAGACGCACAGCATACATTCAGGAACGGTACAGACCCAACCTTAAGACCGGCTGTGATTTGGGTCCCGGGAGTACAGGGCCAGCGTGCTGGGACAACGGCCGAGCATGTGACACACAGCACACTTCCGGGGGGGGGGGGGGGGGGGGGGGGGGGGGGAGCGTACGAAGACGCGCTCCTGCCCGTGCAGGGCCCTGACATTTTCGCCGGAGGACAGACGCGACGTCAGCTCTGCTTACGGAATCTTCTCTTGCTGCTTTTTGACCTGGTGGTTGTTACAAGTAGTCCTCCTATCCTGACTGAGCCCCAGAACTAGAGGGGCCGGGTAAGAGTGTGGCATCTGCTGAGCCCCACGGATACTAAGACCAGCTCCTTCTCAGTAGTCGGCTGAGGCGTGAGAACACACAGGAAGGTCTGAGTCAGAAAGCAAGGAGCGCTTTGCTCCTCATCTCGTGACCTTGAGATTCTCAGAGGTTAGCTGGCCTAAAACATACAACCATTTTAAACAGTGAAAGTCTAAGATAAGTTGGTTGGAGAATATTAAAATACGGTTCTGTTTAGCTTGTATATAAAGACGTACTCGGCACTCAGCGCATCTTAACCAATACCATGTGTGTAGAGGGCACTAAAAACCGAGTTCTCCATCTGCTTACTCACTTTTCCTGGCCCGTCTCAGACTCCTCATTGTAGAACGCCTACCAGATGCCGTCTGTCCAGCTACAATGCACTATCCAAATTCCTAACACAGAGGGGAAATGGCAGGAAACTTTCCAGATCAGATTTTAGGAAGCCCAGAGCTTTGAACTCTGTTACGAAAGATGACAGGGGCTGGGGCGCCTGGGTGGCTCAGTCGGTTAAGCGTCCGACTTTGGCTAAGGTCATGATCTCGCAGTTTGTGAGTTCAAGCCCTACATCAGGCTCTATGCTGACACCTCAGAGCCTGGAGCCTGCTTCAGATTCTGTGTCTCCCTTTCTCTCTGCCTCTCCCTCTCTCCCTCTGAAATAAAGATTAAAAAAAAAATTTTTTTTTAAAGACAAAGAAAATGACAGGGGTGCCTGGGTGGTTCAGTCGGGTTAAGCGTGACTCTTGACTTTGGCTCAGGTCACGATCTCACGTTTGTGAGTTCAAGTCCTGAACTGGGCTCTGTGCTGGCAGTGTGGAGCCTGCTGGGGATTCTTTTTCCCTCTCTCCTCTCTCTCTGCCCCTCCCCTGCGTGCTCTCTCAAAAAAAAAAAAAAAAAAAAAAAAAAGATGACAGATGATACTAACTTAATGGATGTTCTCCTTGTAATTTATAATCTTGTTATCCTTTAGAAATTAAAAACATTTCTCTGGCTAAAGTATTACTGAAGCCTGTCACATTCAAATTAACTCAAAGATAAATTTAAAGCCCTTTTCCTCATTTCAATTCAGGAAATGACTGTCGTTTAATATTACTTATATCATAATCATCCATAATGGATACAGGTAAGTCCACCGCCTACATGACAATCTGGTTGGTGGTTAAGAACACGGGTCAGGACCACCCGGGTCCAACCCCGCTGTGCCTGCTCCCAGCTGTGAAACCCCGGGCCGCCTGACATGTCTCCTGCCTTGGTTTTCCCATCTGCAAAATGACGGTAACGACCGTACTTCTCCCTCAGGCTGCTTTGAGGATTAAGTGACATGACAAACACACGAGGCTTTGAACACACGTGACGTGTGATTAGCGCAGTGTGAGTGTCAGGGGCTGGTCACATCACCTTGTTAAAACCTCCCAACGGCGACAAACACAGACTACCTCACGCTCCAAAAAGAACATTCATTTCATTAGGGAAATTCCTTATGTTTGAAGAACTTCCACTTCCACAAATAGGAGAACTGCATTAAAGTACACGACGCAACTGCATTAAAATGTAAAATACGGTTCACGTACCTGTTTGGAACACAAGCTCTTTCCCTCCCACGCCCGCTGCCTCCAGGTTAATAAATGCACGAATCAGGCTGGCCCAAGGGTGCTGAGTTATGAAACCATGACTGGCCTGAATAAGAAGGAAATAAAACAGATGTAGGTGAAACAATCTTAAATTATCAAAGTCTTTCTTTGGTTTAATTTAAAGACAGAAGGTCTACGTTGATAAGGGGAAGAAGAGGAAAATCATCATTTTTTTCAAAGGCAGGACCTGAAGACACCGATCTGTGTCTCTACGCACACTGGCCGCGTGCAGCTTGCTGAGTGGAAAGTCGCCATCACCGAAGGCAGCCTGACTTCCATGAGCGGTGCCAAACAATACCCACAGTAAGTATGAGGCCGGGCAAACCAACAGAAGAGAAAGGACAATCCGCATGCTGTGTGCCTGCCTCGAAACCTCTCTGACGCCCCAGGGTCACAGAAAACCTGACATGTCTAATTACGCCATCACAAAGCCCTCGCAGGACTCAAACGCTGACAAGATGACGTGAGTGTGCGAGTACTGAACCCGTGTACACGGCGGCTGCGGGGTTTTTACAGCACCGCCACGGACGGTATTTCTTTTGCACATCGTCTTACGATGCTACTCAAAAGCATGAGCGAAATGCCTAAGCGCGAGCTACGGTCGTCATCGTCGCTCAGGTCTAGTATTGAAGAGAGTAAACTCTCACTTGCAAGACGTTTTCCTCGGCACCATTAAAGAGAAATATGACAGCGTGACGCAGGGCTTCTGAAGATGTCGACAAGACACGGAGCACTTCCAGCATCACTGAGCAGCTCACTGCATCATCGCTGGCACCTTCAAATCAGAAAGAAAGATTTGCTTCTCAGACTGAAGGTTGGTTGTTTTACATTTATTTTTTTATTTGAGAGAGAGCGTGCCAAGAGCAAGGGACAGGGACAGAGGGTGAGGGAGAGACAGAATCTTAAGCAGGCTCCGTGATCAGCGAGGAGCCCGACGCGGGGCTCAATCCCACGACCCTGGTGTCATGACCTGAGTTGAAATCAAGAGTCGGACGCTCAACCTGCTGAGCCACCCGGGAGCCCCGCTTCTCAGATTTTAAAACTTTTATGGTGTGAACCGTCATGGCTAGGAATGGTTTTCTCGTCAAGAAAGCACCACAGGGCGCCTGGCTGGCTCAGTTGGTTGAGTGTCAGACTCCAGCTCCAGTCATGACCTCACGGCTGGTGAGCCCAAGCTCCTTATCGGGCTCGTTGCCGTCAGCACAAAGCCTGCTGCAAACCCTCTGTCCCTTTCTCTCCCTTCCCCACTTGCACTCTCTCTTTCTCAAAAATAAACAAGACACTTAAAAAAAAAAAAAAAAAAGAAAGAAAGAAAGCACAACACTGGCTGCAAGACCACAAGCACATCTGTCACTGCCAGCTGACAAGGGCACTGGCCCGCGCCGCCTCACTCCATGACGACGGGGATCCTCATCCGGTCGGCCTGCTGACTGGTCTAGAACCGTCCCCAGCTGAGAGCAGTCACTTGACTCCTATCTGTTGAACCATCAACCAGGCAGGATCTCAGTTAACTGAAAACCCGCATTCCTCCCTCAAGCCCGGGCGATCTGGTCCACCCTTCGTCCTCACTCCACGCCCTCTGGGATATTCTCACTTCTGGGGTTCTGGCTTCCTCCATCATCTCCCGCACCACCACGACCTTCCTGCTTCTCTTCCTGCCAGGATCACAAAGCTGCACGTCACTCCACTTTCACAGAGCGGGTGGTCTGGGTGATGGAGCATTTTGTGAAGATTATGTAATGAAGGGGATCATGTGATGAAAAAGTACAGAGACGACATCAAATCTAGTAAGACACAGGAGAGGAGACCAATGACCTGAAGAGCCTCCCTGGTCCCCGTGCTGAGAAATCTGCAGAGGACCTCATCAAAGCACTTCACTTCTTCTTGACTCAGACGCTTCGTATATTAATTAAACATGATTATAAAGATGACTTTAAGACCCTGATTTTTTAAAAGCACTGTAAGAGGTAGTTAGACTAGACATCTGAGGATATTGGGGAATTCTCGGTAAGTTTTTACTTTTGAGGTGAGATAATTCATGGTGTTACAAGCATGCCCAAAACGAATCCTATCTTTGGGTGGGAGCAGACTGAAATACAGAGGACTGAGTACAGCTGAGATCTGCTTCAAAATTCTCAGGGGTTGCAGAGGGGAAAGAAACCAGACCGGACCTTTGAAGTCAGCTGACAGGTATGCTCAGGTTAAACAATTCTGGTTTTGCACATGTTTGAAATTGTCCATAATAAAAAGTTTAAAGAGTAAGCCAAGTAAATAGACATAGTAATAACCCAAGCAGAAGCATTTCTGGGTGTGCATATTGGGAGGCAGGGTGCTACAGAATTCAGTGTGGGTTTCAGAGCAAGAAAGACTTGGGCGGTAAGTCCTAGCTGTTATTTACCCTACAATTTCCTCCTGGTCGGTCTGGAGGGCAGGGCCAATGACGTTTATTTGAGGTGTGTCGGGAGGATTACAAGAAAATGTGGTCCAATCCAGTGCTAATTGTTCCTTCTTCTCTTTACAAATTTAAGAAAGGCTCTGCAGCCGGCTAAAATGTTCATTTTGGGGCTGTTCAATTCCAGACCCATTCCTACTCAAGGAGAAACCACTTATCAGCTGTCCTTGTCCTGGTGGTGATCACCAGGTTGCATTTGAATCAAAGTGAACCAAAGTAATAATTATCTAATTACCATCAAGCAGAAAGCATAGGTAGCTATCAGTAAGAAGTAACACATTCCTACAACCAAGTGAAATTCATGGTTTTTCACTTTGACACTCTGAGTTACTTTAATGTAAACAGCAAACAATAAATTTTTTTTAAATTTTTTTTTTTAACATTTATTTATTTTTGAGACAGAGAGAGAGCATGAACAGGGGAGGGTCAGAGAAAGAGGGAGACACAGAATCTGAAACAGGCTCCAGACTCTGAGCTGTCAGCACAGAGCCCGACGCAGGGCACAAACCCATGGACCGCGAGATCATGACCTGAGCCAAAGTCAGATGCTTAACCGACTGAGCCACCCAGGCGCCCCTAAATTTTTTATTCAAAGTGAGAGAGAAATTGAAAGAAATATATATAGGGCTGATTAAAAAGTTAAACTGTCCACTTATCTTCCTTTATTTTAATGGTTCTGGCACCTGAGAACAGGACTAAAGAAGGGTTAAATGCCTTTAAGAAAGCAAAGACAAGTTAGAGGACAGTATCTATAAAGGCTGGGTGGTTTGTCAATATCCCTTTCCACTTAGAATTAACCCTGAAATTGAAACCACCACTAAAATAACTCCATGTCTCTTCTACCAACAACCTGGACCGTGCAGCAAAACCAAGAAGAAACTTAAGGCTTTTCTGTTGGTAACATTACTCCGAATTGGTATCAGTTCCTAAGTTCCAGATACGCTGGTGAGAAGAAAGGGTGTAAAAAAAAAAAAAAAAAAAAAAAAAAAAAAAAGTTGAAAAGCACAGTCACAAAATAGACTATCACCTACATCCTTTCAATGGATGAACTAAGTGAAACATGCGGATTCTTTAACAATTTGCAATGAACAGAAATTTCCTTGAGATTGTCAGCTAGGTATTTGTAGACAATTTTAATTAAAAATGGGTTCCAATGACCCACAAAATTGCCATTCTTTCATTCCTGGACTCCATGTATGTGATTTATAACATCTGGCACTATGTTTCTGATACTCGTATACACATCTTTCTTTTATAATGCTCTTAAATAACCCTGGTGTTAATCTGTCCCACCCAAGAATTTAAGCATTATAATAGTGGGCATAGGGGGACACTGATTTTACAGCTTCTCTGAAACAGGCATGAAGGACTACTGGTTTCCCTAGCACACACAAAGGTATTTGTGACTTTATAAAGCAGATGTCTATACACGGACACTCGAAAAAGCACGTTACCTTCTAAAGGCAGTTGGCAAGCTTTCTGATTAAAGAAACCCTAGTGTGAGTCATTTCATCAAGCAAATAAATTCTACCTTCTGTGTAACTTTTGTATCTTGTGTTTTATCTTTTATATCTGGATATTCCTTTGAGCCTGCTATGGGTTCGAGCAATCCAGAAATATTACAGTCAAGTAACAATTATTAGGAATTAATCTCCAGTTTGCAGATCAGAAATGGAGCAGAGAAGAGGTTAGGTATTTTGCCAAAAGGAACTTAACTATGCTCTCCTTCCGGGGCGCCTGGGTGGCGCAGTCGGTTGAGCGTCCGACTTCAGCCAGGTCACGATCTCGCAGTCCCTGAGTTCGAGCCCCGCGTCAGGCTCTGGGCTGATGGCTCAGAGCCTGGAGCCTGTTTCCGATTCTGTGTCTCCCTCTCTCTCTGCCCCTCCCCCGTTCATGCTCTGTCTCTCTCTGTCCCCAAAATGAATAAACATTGAAAAAAAAAATTTAAAAAAAAAACTATACTCTCCTTCCTTTCAAATGTAGCTCAAATAATTGGCTGGCCAGAACCGCAGCCTCTGGTGCCACCTCTGTCTCTGATCAGTGGTGACCAGCTAAGTTTATTCCTGTGACAAAAGACAGGGTTGAACCGGACAGCACCAGACACTATCTCACTTCCTCCATCTCTAAAGTGCCAGGATTCCACTGCAAAATGCTACTATTTTCCATCTGTCCCTACTTCAAATCTAGCTACTGCACACATTTCTCTTGTGAATCTTATTTTAAAAAATGGAACTTCAATTTAGAGAATTCTCCTTCATTCTACAAATGTTTTATCGTGTCAGGCACTGTCCTGAACATCAAGTATTCCATTGTGCCAAAGTATTTTCAGAGCAAGATTTGTGGATCAATGAGCTCTTCTAAGAGTATGGCATCCCCAATGGGCCCAAATCCTCACTTTCCAGGGTGACAGACTCTGCTAGGGGAGCTGTCCCCGGAAGCCCTCCCTCCCTTGAAGGCGAAACCTATTCCTTCATCCCAAATGCCCACAGCCTCCTACACCACGGAGCTGAGTAAACACCGACGCGGCAGAACCTAACCCCAGGACTCAGGGACACACTCCTGCACCCTGGCAAGGCAGCTGTGATCTGCTCCCTGTACAGTCACTGGGCTGCTGGCCCTAATGAAGGAAGGAAGGAAGGAAGGAAGGAAGGAAGGAAGGAAGGAAGGAAGACAGACAGAAAGAGAAAGAAAGAAAGAAAGAAAGAAAGAAAGAAAGAAAGAAAGAAAGAAGAAGGAAGGAAGGAAGGAAGGAAGGAAGAAAGGAAGGAAGGA